TTTTTTTTTCCCCCCTTTTTTTGGTTCCGGGCTGGCAGGCAGGTGCTTGTGCTGCTGAGCTATATCCCCGGCCCTATATTTTCTTTTTTGTCTTCGTCGGTTTGACTTTAGGTTTATCCATCTTGGTGACTATTGAGTGTAGTTGATTTTTTTTTGTACTGGGAATTGAACTCAGGACCTTGCGCTTGCCAGGCAGGCACTTGTGCCGCTGAGCTGTCCCCTCAGCTTTTGAGCGTAGTTGAAAAGGTCAGATTTTTCACAGTTGCTCGGTGGGATGTTCCATAACTGTCAGTTAGGCCATCTGGTTGGCCTTATGTTGTTTTGTTCATGTCTTCTGCATCCCTGCTGATATTCTTTGTACTTACTCTTAATTATGGAGAAATGAGTGGTGACATCTCTCACTACAGTTATGGATTAGTCTGTTTTTCCCTTCAGCTCTATCACTTTTTGTTTCGTGTATCATGAATAATTGTTAAGTACACACATCTAGGATCGTTATTTCTTTCAATAAATTTACCCATTATTACAAAATCCCTTTTTTAAAATCCTGGGCGGTACTCTGTTCTGAAGCCCACTTTGTGAGATACTAGTATCTCTTTGGACACATGCTGTGATACAAGGGTCAGCAAACCCTTCGGGAAAGGCCAGATAGTACATAGTTTAGACTTGGAGGATCAGGTAGGGACACTTGTATATTCTTTTTTATTTGTTTACTTTTCAGCGGTGCTTTGAAATATAGAAGTAATTCTTACCTGTGTGCCATACAAGCTGAGTAATTTACTAATTTCTGCTTCAGTGTTAATGTAGGATAGAATTCTAAAAGTAGATTTTTTCAAAAGGTAACCATTTAAAATTAGAGTTGATAACTGTTAAGTTGTTTTACACAAAGAGGATGCTATTTAAGAGTCCTAACAGTTTTTTAAAAATATTAGGATGCTTTGCAGAGGACTTTTGAAATACTAATTTTGTGTTTTATTTTTTTTCCGACATGTAGTATTACCAACTCCATGTATAAATATCCCTGCCTCTCCATTTATGCAGAAGCTTGGCTATGGGACTGGAGTGAATGTTTACCTAATGAAAAGGTAAGTGTAAGATTTCAAATTAAACTTTTTATCAGAAATAAGAAAATTCAAAAGATCTAGATTTGGCATATGTTCCTGGTCCTACCTGGCTGTTATATTCCAGTCCCTAGAAGTTGGAAAACTGCCACAGTTCTGCCTGGTAAACTCTAGCTTCCTCCTCATGGATCATTAAGGAGAAGTAGTTTAGCTTGTAACTTTTTCCCGGCTTCTATAAGAAGGGGAATGGCAGAGGAAGGGTTTCCTTTGTGGTACTAACACAAGATTCTCCATAAGAAAGCCTTAAAGAGGAAACCAGAGGTGGGGATGCCAGTGACTGATCCCTCTGCTGTCTGGAGACTTGCTGTCCCAAGATCTTCCCTTCTTAAGAAGGGAGAGGTTTTTCCTTCTTATGGACTCGTTATTAAGAGGCAGTACACATTTTTAAAGATTTTAAATTGTGTTAGGAAAAAAATGAAGTAATTGAACAAGTATGGTGCTAATGGCTAGTAATGTAAATGTCAGGAGGTTTTTTTTTTTTCTAAATTTATTTCTTTTTCCAAAAAGAAAAAACAAAACAAAACAAAAAAAAAAACAAATTCCCTAGGGGCTGGGGATTTAGCTCAGCGGCAGAGCGCCTGCCTGGCAAGCGCAAGGTCATGAGTTCGGTTCCCGGTACCAGAGAAAAACCAAAAAAAAAATAAAAAATAAAAAATAAAAATAAATTTATTTTTTTTCATCATTACTCTTTGTCTATTTTTGTTTGTTAAATGGCAGGCGGCTAACTCAGTATGTATTTCTTAATTATTTTTTGAATCACTGTTCAGTCTTTCTTACAATAGCTTCAGTTCAGCTAGATTTATATTACTTTCATATACAAATGCTATCTTTAATGAGACTAATGAATGGCAATATTCTAGAAGTTAGATTCAAGGGGGTATTCTGAAGCACACATTTTATTTTATTTTATTTATTTATTTATTTATTTTGGTACTGGGAATTGAACTCAGGATCTTACACTTGCCAGGCAGGCACATGTGCCGCTGAGCTATATCCCCGACCCTCAAGTGGGTATTCTGGAAGCATTTTTGTTTGTTTGTGTGTTTGTTTTGAGACAGGGTCTCGCTATCTAGTTCAGAATGGTCTTGAACTCACTGTGTAGCCCAGGCTGCCCTCAGACTCAGAGATCCTCCCGCCTCAGCCTTCTGAGTGCTGTGTACTACTACATGTGGCTCCTGAAGCATTTTTGCAGTTTAACCCCCTGCAACCCCGTGTGTTTGCATGTTATTAATTTCTTCTGTAAACACTTACTTTTCTGGTTTTTTGGGGGCGAGGTAGAGTTTTTGTTTTTTATTTTGGGAGGTTTATTTCTGTTTTTGGCTTTTGAGACAGGTTGTAGCTCTGTAGCCTAGGCTGGTCTCAAATTCTCCATGATCCTCCTACCTCAGCCACGCAAGTGGTAGGATTATAGGCATGTAGCACATCTGGCTTGGACATCTTCCTTGCCTTGTTTTCCTGTGTTCTATCTGTTGTTTTGCTCTTATTTTCTGGGAAATTTCCTCAACTTTATCTCCTAAGGCTTCTGTTGAGTTTTTCTTTTTTTTTCTCTATTGTTTTTAATTATCCTTTTTGAAAATAGCATACTAAGTCCTTTGGGATGTTTTTGTTTTTTGTTTTTTTTGTTTTTTTTCTTTTTTTTTCCAGTACCGGGAATCGAACTCACGACCTTGCACTTGCCAGGCAGGTGCTGTGCTGCTGAGCTAAATCCCCAGTCCCCTGGAATGCTGTTGAAATGTTTCCTGCCCTGATCTAGATGTGATAACACAGGGCTGATGCACACATGTAAAAATTCATTGAGCATTTAGTAGGTATATTGTCATTAATTCTTGCCCTACTCCTACATGCTTTGTGAGTTTTCAGCTGCTAGTAAACTCTGAGCTACAGGGCCTGTGTTTCACCTCCCCTCAAAGCCAGCCTTGGGGCTGGTATCCAGGAACCTACCAGCTTTTCACGTTACTTTTAAACATTTTATTGGACCTGTTAAGTCACTTACATCTATTAGTTTTCTACCTTCTAAAATTTTGTTGGTATTGTCTCCTCTGCTGTTATTTCCGTTCTTGTAGGCAGGTTTATGTCTTACAATAGCCATTTGCTGTTGCAGTTTAGAAAGGATAAAAATTTAAAAAAAAAAAAAAAAAAAAAAAAAAAGGATAAAAATTTAAAAAAAAAAAAAAAAAAAAAAAGGATAAAAATTGCGTATGTTTAAGTTACAATTTTCATCCAGAAATCTATGTTCTTAAATTTTAAATTGAGTTTGCTTTCCTAAAAGTCCAGCATAGTTCATATTATTTTTAAATAAACTGGTAGCAAAAACCAAACAAACAAACAAAAAATATTAACAAATGGAATGTTAAGTTTATTGGGGTTTTTTGTTTTTGTTTTGAGACAGGGTCTCGTTATATAGTTGAGACTGGGCTCAAACTTAGTGATCCTCCTGCCTCAGCCTCCCAAGTACTGGGATTATAGGCGTGTGCCACCACGTCTGGACAGTTTGTTAATTATTTGTTGGGAGTTTTTGTGTCTGTGATATAAATATATGTAAATCAAATAGGTTGTGATTTTCTTTTTTATTTTGCTGGCCTTTATTTTTTTAATTAAAATTATACTATATTTGTACTATAGTATAAATTATACTATATTTATAGTCTCTTTTCCATTCCCCAAGGAACAGTTTTTCTCAGATTAACAGGTTCCTTGAAAGTATGCTCCCCTGTAGAAATCATCTATGCCTTATATTTCTTGCAGGAAGATTTTAAAAGAGTTAGGTAAATTTCTTCTTTAATCAGTTTTATTATATTTTTTCAATTTTCAAAATTTCTTCTATAAATTGTTTCCCTTCTTTTACTTGCAATATTATTTGGGCTTTTTTTTTCCTTACATAATCTCATTAGAAATTTAACTTTTAATCTTTTCAATGAATCAACTTTTAGCCAAGTGTTTTATTCAGATTTCATAAATCTATTCTTATCATTCTGTAGGTTAGGATAAATATAGAAAAGGAGAGTTTGGACTTGTTTACTGACTTTTAAGCCGAAGGGTAATCCTTGAAACTTGCAGAATATATTTTTCAGAATAAAATGATATGAAATATGTTATCCCTGAAATGCTGTTGTTATCTAAAACTGTAAGTTTAATAATAGTACACATAAACTTATAGATGATAGATGACATGGTTATCATTTAAGACTGAAGACATCTTACGATCCTTTTGAGTACAGACTTTTTGATTAAACAGACAAAAAAGTTCTGCAATGTAATTATACAACCATGCCCATGAGGAAGTACAAAGGTAAACAGGTCATTGGTTCAATGAGCTTTATCTTTTTTTTGTGTGTGTGTGTGCAGTACTGGCAATTGAACCCAGGGCCTAGTGCACCCTAGGCACGCACCCTATCACTGAGCTACCCCTGGACCCCAGTATATTATTTTAGGGTTAAACTTTTGTCTTGCATTTTTGAAGTTCTTTCACTAGTCTCTGTGTCCTTATATGATCTATATTTGTTTTACCTATTTGTTTCTTTAGGCCTGAAAACATACCTTAAATATTGTTAAGATGACTGAATTCTAGAATATAAAAAGTTTACATTTTCTTTACCTATATGTGTATTTTTCTCTCCTAAGCACATCTTTGAGCATGTGATGAAAGGTATGAGGTGGACTGGTCTGTGTAGAAGTGCAGTATGTGTTGGTAAAGAATAGCATGCTGTTGTTTGGGTGATTATTAAACAGGCCGCATGATTTTGAGTATCTCTTCTTTAAGTTAAATGCTTTAAGGATTAAATGTTTATGTTGTTGGATCCTGTCACTCACATCTGATACATATAAATACCTAAGTAGTTGGCAGTCTGACATGTTAGAATAGAAAAATTAGAAAAGAGTAGGAGTTTTTATATTTAAAATTAATAACATTCCATCCATATCCTTCTCTTTTTATCCTACACAGTATCAGACTTCTCTCAGTATACATGAATCTTATCTTCCAGGTGAAATAGAAATGTGGTGGAAGTGTTGTCTAAAATATTTTAAATATTGTTTTCTTGTTTTGTTTTTTAAACACATTACTATCAAGATCTTTTTGAAATTTGAAAGTTCTTGTTTGTCATTTGAAAATGTATTATGATTTTTATTCGATTTTATCCTGATTATTATTGTTGTTGTTTTCAGATCGCCGCGAGGTTTGTCTCATTCTCCTTGGGCTGTAAAAAAGATTAATCCTATATGTAATGACCATTATCGAAGTATATATCAAAAGAGGCTGACTGATGAAGCTAAGATTTTGAAAAGCCTTCATCATCCAAACATTGTAGGTAAGTGTAAACTTTTTGGTTGCAGTAAGTGGTATAATAATATGCTGTACACTTGTAAACAATGTGTTACTTTCTTAACTAGTTTCACTAATAAATATGAAGAGGATAGGGCTTGAGGATGCAAGGAATCAAATTAATGTGAACAGTCTAAAGTAAAAATTAACATAAAATACTTTGCAGATGTTTATGTATATGAACTTCATGTGGGTAGACAAGTCATTACAGTGCTGGTACTGTGAAGATTTCAGGAATATACAGTGATCTTAATGTAGATAATTTAGTGCAGAGTTTCCTTGTTTTCAGTTTGCATTTTTATTTATTTAAATTTATTTATTATTTTGTTTTTCTTCAGTCCAGTTTGTATTGTTAGTACTGGTAGGGAAGCACAGAGCAGTAAAAATATTTTAATTTGGAGTACAATGGCAAAAACTGAAGGCATTTTACATTAGATCTAGCGAGTTAGAGAAAGTGAATAATAGCTGTTTCAGTGTGTTAGTCCAGATTCCCATTACTATAAAATGCTTAAATACTGTTGTTCTTTCTTATACTGCTAAAAAGTGTCCTGTTTTCTTAAGGTTATCGTGCTTTTACTGAAGCCAGTGATGGCAGTATGTGCCTTGCTATGGAGTATGGAGGGGAAAAATCTCTAAATGACTTAATAGAAGAGCGATATAAACACAGCCAGGGTCCTTTTCCAGCAGCTATCATTTTAAAAGTTGCTCTAAACATGGCAAGAGGGCTAAAGGTAAGTATTCCATTGTATTTTAAATAACTTTTGTGGACTGTGAAGAAACTGAACACCTACGACCTACTGACTTGTTTTATTTTTATATTCTCCCCAAAGAGGGAGTTTCTTTAAATTCAAGTCTTTATAGTCTCATATTGCAGAATGCACAATTTCTTTATTTTGATCAGCAAAATAGTGTTTGGGGCCATCAGGTAAGCCGGAAGTAACCTAACTCAGGTGGTTTTGTAATAGAGATCACATGTTAGACTTAGTTAAATGGGTTAATCAGCTGAATACAAATTTAGTAGTTGTTCCTGGGAGCATAAGCTAACCCCCTGTTGATACTAGCAAACCTCTTAATGATTACTTATGGGATGTTTGGTTTGGACATCATGAGCATACATTTGCAGGCCCACACAAAAAAATTATTGTGCCTTTGGGTAGACGTGATAAAAGGAATAAAACAAATGCTCTAGAAAACTACTGGATGACATAAAAGTAGACCAGGTAACAATTATACTGATGTCCAAGTTGCATGTGGAGAGTTCAGATGACATTGACTTATGAAACAAATTGGGAAAAAGGCAATGTTTCTAAATATATATTTTAATACATTTATAGAAAGCATTTTAAATGCCTAGGATAGAAAAATCAGAATTATTTAATAGCTCAGGATTTGAAATGTATATGTATAATGAAGTTAGTTAATTACAGTGTGAACATATGGGCCTGTTCACTGTGTGATGGGTACCACTACATTCAGCATAGCTCAGTATCTCTGTGTAAAGAGCAGGTCTGTACCAAAAATGGTCTCTGCAGCATTTCCAAGCTGAGCTCATACAGAAATTCTGAAATGCTGAATAATGAACAAATAACCATTTTGTGGGACATTTTAAAAAATGTGAGTGAGTATTTTTACTTGCTAAATCCAAGAAAAGGGTTAATGCTGGGCATAATGTTGCATGCCTGTAATCCCAGCACTTGTAAGGTTGAGGCAGGAGGATTGCTACCAATTCAAGGCCACCTTAGACTACATAGTGAGACCCTGTCTCAAAAGAGGGGGGCATTAAAATGTTTAACAAAATATAGTCTTGGACTACATGTCTGCTTCTGAATTATATGTAGCCTAAGTCATATATTAGTTCTGCATTATGAGGAAACTGCTTCATTGTGAAGATTCCAAAATTACTTATAAAAATACTAGCCTCAAGTAACATTGTAGTATATTTTGACATCTGCTGTAGCAACTTCTGATATGAAAGTATATGGAACAGGTTTAAAAATACAAAGTTAAATTATTATATAAAGAAACACTTTAATGCCAGGAGTGGTGGTGCATGTCTATAATCCCAGCACTTGGGAGGTTGAGGCAGGAGGATTGCCACAAGTTCAAAGCCATCCCGGGCTACATAGTAAGTTCAGGGCTAAGTTCTGGACTATTTAGTGAGACCATGTCTTAAATAAATAAACCAACATATTTTAAAAGAACCTTTCAGTAATAACATGGGATATACCTGTGCCTGACTTAAAAATATTTGAAATTATGGACACATAAGTCTAGTTTAGGATGAGAATTCAAATCATTTTTATTTGAAGGTTTTTTTTATTAGTTTGTATTTTTGCTCACTGGTGCTAAATTTTTTATAATTTTAGTATCTGCACCAAGAAAAGAAACTGCTTCATGGAGACATAAAATCTTCCAATGTTGTAATTAAAGGTGATTTTGAAACAATTAAAATTTGTGATGTAGGAGTTTCTCTCTCATTGGATGAAAACATGACTGGTAAGTTGTACTGTTTAAAATTTTGTGATATTAGAAATCAATGATTTTTTTTTTTTTTTTTGGTTTTTCTCCGGTACTGGGAACCGAACTCACGACCTTGCGCTTGCCAGGCAGGCACCTTTGCCGCTGAGCTAAATCCCCAGCCCCTGAAATCAATGATTTTAATTTCTCATTTTTACATTTAAAAATATGTAATAAGTTCTTATAGTTCAAAATTTTAAGATGATTATAAAGTATGTAACAAAAAGTACCTTTCTTTTTCTATCTTGCGTCTACTCATCCTCCAGTCCCTTCCACTGCCACATGCACAAATATAAATTAGTGGCTTCTTATTAGTATATTCTTTCAGCAACATTAACATTGGGAAAGATTTCTAATCTGGATTAAGATCTTTCAACTGTAAGGTATCTGGGAGTAGAAAACAAAACTTTAATAAGGTTGTTTTAGTTTTTCGTAATCCTGATGATTGAACTCAAGGAGTTGCACTTGGCTAGCAGACTCTGTACTACTGGGGTACATCCTCAAACCTTTGAGACAGGGTCTTACTTAGTTGCCCAGGCTGGCTGCAAACTTGTGTTCTTTCTGCATTAGCCCGAGTAGTTGGGATTACAGATGTATGCCACTGACTTAATAAGATCTTGTAAAAAAAATTCCTTAAGCTCAGTAAAATGATGAGATTTGGGAAACTGCTACAAGAAACAAGTAAACTAGGAAAGAGAGGTGCAAATAAAAGCCAGTCTTACGCTTTTTGCTCCTTGGTCCAGCCCAAACCTCTGATCTGTTTTATGTATACTGACCATTCTCTTCTCCGAAATTTAAGATTTGTTTTTGCTAAGAGCCAAGAGCTACTCTTAAGAGAATGCTTCTGCTTTTAACATATTATTTAGCAAGTAACATTTACATTTGTCTTTCTAGCTGAATATAAATTATAGGGATGGCCTGTGCATGCTGTTTAGAACATATGTAAAGCTTCATTTCTAGCAGAAGTAAAAGTTTAGAAGTTGTCAGGGCTGAGGATATAGCTCAGTGGCACAGCTCCTGCTTAGCAAGCACAAGGTCCTGAGTTCAATTCCTGGTACCAAAACAAGTTGTTAGAGGTAGAAACCAGGATAGAGTACTATAATTTCTACAACTGTTAATAAAAATCGAACTCTTGTGAACCTTTTGCTAAATAACTGCTACAAAGTTGAAACTTAAGGAGATTGTCAAGCACAATAAAAATAAGATCTTTAAAGTGTAATTTTTTTCACACCTTAATAGAGCAAATAGGTAAAAGTGAGTAAGGGTATAAAATATCTGAATAAATAAGGTTGATCTCTCCGCATTAGAATATTTATTAAAATTAAGCTGGGCATGGTGATGAACATCTGTAATCCCAGTTACTTGGGAGGTGAAAGCAGAAAAATCATGAGTTTGAGGCCCTGAACAAGTTAGCAAGACTTTGCCCCCTACCAAAAAAAACTAGTTTTAAAATTGACCATATGTTAGGTAAGCCACAAAAACAAACTTAACATTACAAAAAGTAGTTGTTTCTAATAGTTGACATTCATTAATGTCAGTGGTACAAATCCAGAGCTTTATATCAAAACTGGAAACAAGGGCCGGGGATATAGCTCAGTGGCACAAGCACCTGCCTGGCAAGTGCAAGGTCCTGAGTTCAATTCCTGGTACTCCCCCGCCCCCCCAAAAAAGAAAACTGGAAACAAAAACTCCACTTTTAAGAATATAAGACACCTGTAAATAATTCTTGGTTGAGAGAGGAAATCAAATTCTAGTTCAAATATTTAGAAAGTAGGAATGTTACATACCAAAAAATAAAATCCAGTCAAAAAATGAACACTTGAAGAGACATTCTCTAAGGAAGAAGTAAAAATGGGCAATAAAGTACATGAAAAAAGGAGCTGGGGATTTAGCTCAGTGGCACAGTGCCTGCCCAGCAAGTGCAAGGTCGTGAGTTCAATCCCCAGTACCAGGAAAAAAAAAACAAAAAAAAAAAGTACATGAAAAAATGTTCAGTATCTTTGGCTCTTTAGAGAACCACAAATCAAAACAACACTGAGATTCCATATTACTCCAGAAAGAATAGGTATCATCAAGAATTCACATCTTAGCAAGTAACATTTACATTTGTAAATAGTGGTGAGGCTGTGGGGGAAAGTACAACCTTTGGCATTGTTGGTGGGAATGTAAACTGTCAAATAGATGAGTGGATAAGAAAGATTGACATTTGTACACAATGGAGTACTACACATTCATAAAGGTTAAACTTGAGTCATTTTTAGGAAATGGATGCACCTTGAAGACTACAATGTTAAGTGAAATCAATCAGACACAGAAGGTTAAATATTGCATGATTTTTCTTACATGAAAAACTCAAGATATTAATAAAAAGCAAAATAAAAGATAGATGATAGGAAACAGGGAGAGTTAAACTTTGTGGAGATGAGAAGTGGAAGTAAAAATTAAGATGCAATATGTGTATGTGCCAATTTCCCAAGATGAATGTAATTATTACGTATTAAAAACATAAAAGAATTGTAATAAATCAAAATCTATTTGATATGTTTGAGATTACCCAAAGGAAAACATTTCTATTTAACTTTTATGAAATTAAACTGAGTATTCATCTTAGATATAAAACAGATGAAACCCTAAGGAAAGCAGAAAGCAGAAATGAATTTTGGGGAGTGGCTCAAGCTGGAGATAAATCACACACGCTGGGCTGCAGCAAGGCCTGAGGTGAGCCATGTGAACAAGCTGCTCTAGCTCCGAGAGCTCCGGGCACCCCGAGGCTGCCATGCAGACAGATTGCTAGGAAGAGGGGTGTCACGTGACATCAACCTGCCGAATGTATAAGTAAATGCTGCAGTGTGAGCAGTTCCTTTATTCCCATCCGGAGAATTACAGCCCCATCATGAATTTGTTAATTCCCATAGACTGAATGAAGATTGTGGAAAAAATTAAAATTGAAAAATTGTAGGTAATGTTTCCTTATTATTGGGCTTGAGAAGACTTTAAATATGTTACCAAAACTAGAAAATACTTTTTAAAAAAGCTTTGCTGCTTGTCATTTTAAAAAATATTTCTGGATGTGGCAGTGGGGAGAAGACAGGGAGGTAAAGACATTACAGAGAAAATGATGTATAAAGTAAAGGGTTGATATTTCTAATGTACAGAATTATCAATGAGAAAAAGTTAAAAGCTATCATGAAGTGTCTATTGAGAAATTAAATATTAAAATGGTACAATTAATTAGGAAACTTTAATGTTCTTAATTTTTAAAGGCTATATTAAATAATGGTGAGTCTGGTGAGTCACTGAGCACTTACTACACTTTACCTGTTGTTTCTCTCATCTTCCTTTCGACTTGTAAGCTCTTTTTATTAGAATGTATTTCTAATACATGATAATTACATCCATCTTGAGCTGGTCCATACAAATATTACATCCTAATTGTTTTACTTCCTCTTCTCTCTCTACTCTCTCATTTCCCCCATCCCCAGTTCCTCTTCCCACAGAACATAGGAATTTGTTTTTGTTCACTATAGTCTCCTGTGATAGTTCCACGCTTGTAAATAAATATACCATGGAAGGAATAACAAGATTGCCAGCAAGATCAGTAATGTAGGTTAACATGTCCTCTCATGTACTGTACAGATGTTTGAACTGCTACTTCATTCAGGTTAGAAGGTTTTGCTGTGGTAACAGACCTCAAAATCCCTGTGACTTAAAGCATCCAAGGCTTATTTAAGCTTCATAATGTTCATGGGGTGTGGTCTGTCTCACTTTTAAGGTTTAAACTGACAAAACAGCCACTGTCTGAAATGCTGCAGTCACCATGTGGAAGGTTAAAAAAGTTTAAGGGCAGTAGCATCAAATGCATTAGCCACTAGCTACAGATCAAAATCCAGGGCAAACATGAAATCCCATAATGCTGTGACTCGGCACCAAGATGTGAACTCCAAGGGGGTTGGGCACTCAGCCCCTACAGCACTGCTGGTGATTGCAGCCCTCATGGCTTCTCTCTTAGGCCAGCTTTGCTTCCTCCATGGAATTTTCCTCAGACAGTCCACATTCCTGGCTTCAACCCTCAGGGGTCTCCACTGCACTTCGGCTTCATGCATTGCCCTCTTAGGGCCATGCTGCCTAACCTCTCAGGACTTCTGAAATCTGGGTCAAAGCCTCCCTGACCCCACAAAACTTGTATTGTGCACATGCCTAAAACCAGCATCACATGGATGACACTGGGATCTGCTGCCAGCTAGAGCACTAGCCAGGCTTCCTTCTCTGTTGGTTGTAGGGTAGGTATTGAGAGCTTAGATTGCTCAGCGCTATGAACCCAATACAGAGGAACAAATTTTCCAGAATAGGCTGCTGCTGTTCTCGAACGTGTTGTCCTGGGGTTCTTTTCTCAAAGCAGTCTTTCACCTTTACATTTCTGAAGTGCAGAGTTGGAGTCCTGCTGCTTCTCGCAATGCCCCCAGGCCATCTTTTATTGTCCTCTTCTGAAATACTTGGCTTTTTATTGCTAATCTTTTCAGCAACCATATTTTCTTCTGTTCATCTTCGTAGGTCACAACTGTACTTACTGGAGCTTGCTTTCTGGCCAGACTCAAAAACCTTTTAAAATCATTCTGCTGTACCCTTTGTTCTTGATTCTCAACACAGATCTGGCTAAGAGCCCCCAACAGTAGTTATACCACAGCCTCAACATTAGGCTGCCTTGACATTTCTTCCTCCAGATTAGTCCTCCATGCTTAATTTCAGTCTCTTATAATGTCTTTAGATATGAGCAAAAGGCAGACAAATTTTCTGCTGAAGCATAACACACATACTCTGGAGGCCAACAGCCAATGGCATCCTCTCCAACTGAAACCTCCTGAGCCTGCTATTTTCAGCTGCATTGCTCTCAGCATTCTGGTCGTCTGAGCTCTGACCAGAGACTCTCCCATGATGCTCAGCTTTCAGCACGCAGGGACTACTTTAGCTGGCATCTCCAAATCTTTCTAGTCTCTCCCCACAAAGCAGTTCCAAAGGCTGCTGAACCACACGGCCAGGTACTATCACAGCCACAACCCTACTTCTCTGTTCATGTTTCTCCTTGCTAGGACAAAACACCTGACACCTTATCTTTGTTCTCATTCATTCATTACATATATTTCCAAAATATTGAGTGAACAAATGAGCCTTATTAAGTGGAGCCTTCAGTTTCCTGGCTTCTGGACTCTCAATTTTCCTTTTCTTAGTCTCCCTTTTGTTCTTCAGGTACTTTCCTTCTTTGTAAATATTTAGACTCTCAGGGCAGAATGTTTCTTTAGTTCTGAAGAGACGTTTGTCTCATTAAACAGGATCCTAGGTTTTTCTTCTGGTGTTTTAAGTGTGAATTATGTTAATTATAATTAAGTATATTAATTCAGTTTTCACTCTCCTCATAAAGAAAGTGTTATAATAAAATACTGGAAGTTTCTATTTTTTAGTATAATACATGCTATCATTGCCTAATGAATGTTGTTTGTAAGGGTCTTAATTTATCCTAATTATAGAAGTTGTCTTAGTTACTTTTCTCTCATTGCTAAGACAAAATACCTGATGCCCAAAATTAAGGAAGGAAAAGTTTATTTAGCTCAGTTTGTGGAGGTTTCAGTTGATGCTCAGCTGGCTCCAAGGCTGACTGGCACATGGCAGAGGACAACAGTTCATGGTGGTAGAAAACAGAGAAAAGCAGCAAGAGCAAAAAGGGAAGACCCTGTCTCAAAGGTTTGTCTCAAGCCTTTTTGCCTCCTTTATATTGTATGCAGGCTACCCACCATGCTACACCTAGTGCAGGGTGGGCTTAGCACTCACACTCATAATCCCATTGGACCATGAGTTAATCAAAAACTCTAGAAGTCCATCCATGACTGCATGAGGCTTTGGGGGGACATCTAGATATAAACCATAACAGAAGGAAAACATAGTTTACAAAATAAAGAAATTGGGGTCCAGAGGTGAAGCAGTCTACTCAGGTTCACACAGTTTGCACATGTCTTTAGTCCAGGCAAGGCCGTGTTTCTAGTCCGTAGTCTTGACAGCTGTACTCTCTTCATATTTAGGCCACTTTCTAAAGGAACTGCAGTTTGCTTCCATGTTTGCCAGCTGCTGACTGGTTTAATATTTACCAGTCTTCTGCGGAGAAAACAGCCTTACTAATGAAGTCGAATGTGTTTTCATGTGAACTTAAGAATTCCCTGCTCAAATCATTTGTTCATTTTTCTTTAAGTTACTTGCCTTTCTTCTTTTGAGACAGGTTCACTGTGTAGTCCAGACTGGCCTTGAGCTTACTATGTAGCTCAGGCTGGCCTCAAACTCACAGCAATCCTCCTCCCTCAGTCTCCCAAATGTTGGGATTACAGGTGTGTGCCATGAGGCCCAGCTGCCTTTGTTGTTAATTTCTACAGCCTCACAGAAAAAAAAAAAAAAAATTTCTACAGCCTGCCTGCTCTCATGATAGTTTCACGTTTCAGTGACTGATCCCGAGGCCTGTTACATTGGCACTGAGCCATGGAAACCCAAGGAAGCTTTGGAGGAAAATGGCATCATTACTGACAAGGCAGACATATTTGCCTTTGGCCTTACTCTGTGGGAAATGATGACTTTATCCATTCCACATGTTAATCTTAATCTTACAGATGATGATGGTGACGAAGGTATGAATATAAATTTTGTTTTAATTTTTTTCGTGGTGCAGGAGATTAAACTCCTATGGAAATATCCTACTTCTGAACCACATCCCATTTTTTATAAACAAATTGTAATCAAGACACTAAGATTAATTTATAAAATTATCCTTCCATTAAGTTAAAATTTAAGAGTAGTGGTTGACTGAATGAAGCAGTTTGTAAGATACAGAGTACATTAATACTGTAACACTAATTTGGTTAGATTTAATCTCATATAAGTGAGTCATAGATTGAGAAATGATAAATTGAGATCTAGAAGAACAAATTAAAATTACCCTTACCTGAGAAAAAAGACTAGAGAGCTAATATAGAAAATGATAACGGTGAATAACCTGTAAATCCAAGACTAATTTATTCAGTGGCAGGATGATGCAGGAGACTGTCCATGATATAACAGAAAGTGTACTAGAGAGCAAACTGTTGCAGGAGGGTAAGTTAAACTTTTCCATGACCTTAACAGATTTTATTGTTTCAATCTCCAATACTGTTATGAATAGATACAACTTTTGATGAAAGTGACTTTGATGATGAAGCATACTATGCAGCTTTGGGAACCAGGCCCCCTGTTAATATGGGCGAACTGGATGAATCATACCAGAAAGTAATCGAACTCTTCTCTGTATGCACTAACGAAGATCCTAAAGCTCGCCCTTCTGCGGCACACATTGTTGAAGCTTTGGAACTAGATGGCCAGTGATCATGTTCTTGATGACTTCAGTGTGAAGTACATAACTGTTCTGTTTTCTTGGCTGTTTATGTGATTACTGTTATGATCTGCAGTTATTACCCTCCAGAAGTGGCCTATTTTATGTCCATAATGCCCTGTTAATTTTGAGTAGCTTTCTAACATACGTGTACTTTTTGTGTTCTTATGATAAGCACTTAGTATTATACTGGATTTTCTGTTGAAGTTCAAAAAATGTAAATAGAAGCAGGTGGTTAGATGTTCCACACTTAAAACACTAGCAATAAAATACTGTAAATTGTTCTCACATTAATTTGAGTGACCATTCTTTTATCTTTCCTATATATTCTCTATTTTAGTGGATCTATTAAAATTAGCACTTTATACATTGCAAAGTAAATCTACACTTATATTTTAAAATATTAAAACTTTTGCTGGCATTGTTTCAGTCTCTAATATCTTTATGAGTAGGTACAACATTTGCTGGGAGTGACTTTGATGATACTATACAGGTTGGCTGATGTGCTTATTAAATGGCCACTAGAACCTGAGAATATAATTTGAGTAGTTGACTGGGTATTTCTAGACTCTTGGGCTATTTGGCTTGTTCTACTGTCTTGGATTGATGTTTAATTTATTAAGTGTATTTCCTGTACTAAGATTCTTTTTTAGCTTTTATATTTCAAAATGTGGTGTAAAAATAATAAAACTCAAATAGGACAATATAGAATAAAGTATAGCTTTGGTACCAAAAGGTGTATCAGCACTATCTTATTTTATACTCTGACTGACTTGTGTTATTATTAAATCTGTTGAATGAATGTGAATATGTTTCTTTCCCTCTCTTGGCCTTATTTTATTAATCTGTAAAAGGAGGTTGGCATGGATCAGTAGTTTCTATGAGCTTTAGCCCTTTAGAAATTTTTAAATGGGTGAATTATAATTGTAAATCTAGGTGTTATACCCAGACCAGCTATGGATAGAATTTTGAATATTACTGTCACAAGAGTGTTCTTAGAAAAAGGAGGAACTAATGCACTGTGAGTTTTGAAAACTCACTGGAGAGTTCCTTTTATTAGATTATACCAAGCAACAGTGCAAAGATAGGGAATTAGTGTATCTTCCATCAAAGTAGTATTGAAGTGACAACAAAGTAAACTGAAAGTTGACTTAATTTGTAGAATATATATAATTTTGCATCCTAATAGTCAATAGTTATATGTGCTCATTTTGACTTGAATATTGTATCATTCTTAGTAGACTGCCAAACTAGCAAAGCAGCTGCTTTTGGGCCATGTGGCAAAACTATGACACACGTGCCACAGTGGGCATAAACAGCCCTCTGTTGGCACCTGAGCCAAGTTACCCCAGCAGCCGAGCATTGGGTAATAGTTGTTTTTTCTAACCTTAAACCTTAGTATTAAGGTTTAATTGCAGTGTTGGCACTTTATAATAAATAAGTGGGTTCTGAGTTGCAGTTTGGGCACTTATCCCTACAAGGTTTGCCATCACTGTCCTAGAAGGACTAGTCATTAACTCATAAAGCATGAACTGGATCTTTCTTTTTACCACATAAACCAGTTTCGTCATTGAGAAATGTGTTTCTAGTTCATACAGTTGGGTTATCTAAGAGAGCAAACTAGTGCCAAATATTGCGCTGGCAAATTAAAGATTACAAAATAATCACCACAGCTTTTCTTTTTGAGTCTGGATAGGTCCTGGAAATCCACAACACAAGATTGCAGACAATTTGCTACCAACTGCAAGAAAATGATTCTTATTCTTGTCCTCAAACTAAGTTTCAGATGTAAACCTTTCTTGGTCATCTGCCTTATCCTCAGAAGAGCAACAAGAGCAAGACTATTTTTTGCTGAATTAGCTAGCAAATAAAGTAGCCTCCCAAGTAGCTTTCTCACCTCCCAGAAAATCTTTGCTTTTATAGTATAAGGCCTCTAGTTGACTTATCACTATAAAGTTGAGATAATCAGCAGTTGTGCTCTTGGTAGCTACTTCATCTTTAATTTGTTGATTAGAATAAAAATTAGAATCTTTAAATGAAAATACTATCTATAAAAATGTGTGAGATACAGTAAATGATGTGCTTGTAGAGATTTTTAAATGCTGTATTAAGGAGGGCCAAAATATCTGAGCTGTAAATATGTAGGCTTCTATAACTATCTGAGAGGCTTATAATACTTCTTATAGTTCTAGAAACTGAAGTTCAAGATCAAGATGTTGCCCGGCAAGGGCCTATTTCTTCACAGATGGCACCCTTTAGCTCTTTCCTCACATGGCCAGAAAAGGCAAGGAAACAAGTTCAGCCTTCTTTAGTGAGGGCACTAATCCTACTTTCAGGGTTTCCCCTCATAAGCTAACAGTTTCCAAAGGTCCCACCTACTAATATCATCTGCAGGGTTAGGACTTCAACAGGAATTTTGTGGGGACATAAACATTTAGATTATAAATACAAAAGTTTTTAGAAGAGTTTAAAAACAAAATATGAAATGAAAACAAGCCTATAATAGCAAACATGCTAAGCTCAAAAATAATAATAAAATTAAAACACGCTAATAAGCATAGTTGGGTCTTCAAAAATACTAGTAAAATTGGTAAGCCTGAAGCAAGACAACAGAAAGAAAAAAAACTACCATAGATTAAGAACCAGAAACGACTGGTCCTACAGATACAGAATCTCATTCATGAATACATGAAAATCCTAAGTATCAGTTAAGTAAGAAACATCAAGTTAAGGATGGGATATTACACTGCATCATTATACGTCATTCTTGGGATAGAATATTATGTTACAATGAAAATGGGTTATAGCTACATGCAGCATGGATGCGTCATACAAATTCAATTTACAGAAGCTCAAAAACTGAATTATTAGATGTAAAAAAATAGTTTACATTTGAATAACGTGATAGATTTACGAGGGTAGAAGAAAGCTTTAAGGTGCTAGCAATGTTTTATTTTTTTAATCTGGGTATTTATAAAGGTGATCTCCTTTGTGATAACTCACTGAACTATAAATTTTTAAGAAGGTAACTGAAAGAATAGTTTCAGATTTACAGAAAAGCTGCAAAGATAGTAAGAGTTCCCAATGCTCCACACCTTACTTCCTGTGATAAAAACATTTTTTACATCACAATTAGTATATGCCACAATTAATGACCCAGTATTGATATGTGATTGAATAAAGGCCATACTTTCCTCAGATTTAGTGTTCACTTAATGTGTATTTCCTATTCCACTATACCACATTACTTTTAGGAGTCATGCCCCCTTAGGTGTGACAAAAGTCTGTCAGATTTTCATTGTTTTTGATGACACTGACAGTTGCAAGGTGTACGGTCGGTACTCTATGGAATACCTCAAATGGGATGTCATATGCTTGTCTGTATGTGTTTCGGGAAGAAGATAGATGTTCTGGTTATTTTTTGTTGCTGAGACAAAATACCCAATGCCCAAAATGAAGGAAGGAAAGGTTTATTTAGCTTACAGTTTGTGGAGGTTTTAGTCGATAATCAGCTGGCTCTAAGGCAGGGTGGCAGGACAAAGGGGCAACACTTTAAGGCTGCACAAGACAGCAAAAGCAGCAAGAAAAAAAACAAACCAAAAAAACCCTTTTTCCCCCCCTTATATTATAAGCAGGCTACCCACACCCAGGGGACATGTAGCACTCACATAATCTCTGCCCTCATCTTGCACAGGCTGAAGATAAATACAAAATAAAGGCCCTAGCCCCTTGCTCATTTAGTTAATCTTTTAAACATTTTAGGTTGACACAATAAACAACATCCTAGAGCAAAAAGGGCATGTCCTTTTTACTCCAGGATATAAAACTGCTGAGTTGTTTAGTTAAACTCTTAGATTCCTGAAGTTAAGGCAATATATCAACCATAACAGCTAAACTGCCTTTTTCATCACATACCATCAAAGGCCAACATGACAAGACTCGATGTTGACTCTGATCACCTGGCAGAGGGAGTGTTTGTCAAGTCTCTTTCTCACACTGTACTTACTACTGGGAAGAAGTCACTACGTACAGGCCCTTCTTAGGAAGTGTCTATATGAATTTTTTAGAGTTTTTCTGCACAGGAAATTTATTATTCCCCATTTATTCTAGACTGTTTTATTGCTCAACTTATTCCAGGACCAGCCATTGGGAGCTCTTTTGATTGACTTCTCTGTCCTTTTGATAGGCCTCTATTATTGAGGGTTTCCTTTTTAAGCACTTTTCAAGTTTCTGACATTCCCAGATATTCTAGGCTCATCTTATACATTCACTGCCCCAACCCTACAGTGAAACATTTTCCCAAGGAACTCCAGTTCTTTTTTGGAGAAAGGTATTAGAAGCCAAAATCTGGCTGCCAGTCGTGCTCATTGCTACTAGGGTATCCGCTATGTGGGCCCCACATGCACTTACTTCTAGTATGTTGTACTTTGATCAAAAAAATGAGCTGGGTGTTGTGTACGCCTGTAAGCCCAGCACTTGAGGCTGAGGCAGGAGTTCAAGGCTGGCTGGGCTACGTAGTTCAAGGCCAAGCTGGACTATACAACAAGACCTTATCTCAAAAAAAAAAGGATACACCCCACCAAACCACCACCAGCATCAGCTGCAAATCATGGCATGCATTTAACATAGAAAGATAATTGCAATACATGTCTAAGACATACTTAAGTGAATCAAGTTGCAAAAGAACTTTGAATGTATTTAAACTAATCTGGAAGGCAGTTATGCTCACCACTACATCACCAATGCCGCATATTGTATTTAAATTAATCTGAAGGAATGTTTATACCCATTCCCAAGGAAGTATTATGGGGAAGTTGCTGCTTTTGGCAAATCACTGTATTACTGAAAAAATTTTCTCCCACAGAGTACTATTTAAAAATAAGAGCATTCAATTGCATTAGAGAACAAACAAAATGTTAAGAATTTTAATGATTCATCATAAAAGCATTGACCAAACAATATAATGTTAATAAACATTTTTAAATAAAAGAATTTTAAAAACAGCAGTGCAGAAAATAGCATTAAAATATTTGCATAACTGCAGTCATTTTAACATTCCTACATTCCTTTTAGAACACCAGCTTTTAAATTTTAGAACCACTTCAGCTTATAGGCAAATATAGACTACATCTGAACAAATCAGCCACAGAGCAAGACAACTTGGAAAACTACTTCCTTAAAGTCTTATTGCCAGAGAACAGTTTTAAATGACTTTAAAAAAAAAAACAAACCTCAAAACAATCTGAATTACTTTTTTGCTTTCAAAACATTCAAAAGTTATGCACAACAATGTGTACATTTAGGTATACAGTGTTTATAGGCCATCATAATCCTCTCTGGTTCATCAGCTTAGACATATTTACTAACCTTGGTCTGTTACCATACATTTTGCAAAGACTTTTGCCAGACAGCTCAAAACAAGGTATATTTTAAACAAGCAGGAAAAAAAAAAAAAATGCAAACATGAAAACAAATGAGTCATTCAATCCAAGTAGCCATTCATTTTGTTAATGACCTCAATTACTAGTAACAAATTACCTAAATATAAGCAGCATTACCCATATTTTTATGTAATAAAAATTAATGATATGACAATAGTGCAGCAAGTATAATTTCAATTAAATCTGATGGTGTGTATCTGGTTTTTCAAAAAAATTAAAATGCTAAACTATACATTTGTTTTACATAAATGGATATGGCATATGTTACTCATTCCTTATCTTTTCTTATTACTAATTAGAAATTCAAAATAGTCTCTAAATATATCGAACTGAAAACTACTATAAATAACTCATGTAAAGTGAGAACTCTATAGAGAATTCACAAATTATCTTTTAAAACTGGGCATAGAAATTATTTGCCAGGGTTTAGATTTGCTTCTCTGCTTCTGATGAAGCAAGAGAATCCTAATCCTGGTCTAAAAAGACGCTCCTGTAGAAAAGATAAGTGGTGACATTTCTGCAGAAACCAGTTTGTTTTGTCAATATTCTTATATAGGAAGCCAGAAATTTTCCAATTACAAGTATAATGTTCCATAATTACAGACTTAGAGTGCTAATCCGTATATTATCCAAAGATTTTTCCTTACAACAAACTTATCCCTGACTCTCCAAACCATAAGGAACAGAACTACGGGGAGGGGTGTATCTCGGTATTAATTTGTTTATATTGTATAAGGAGTTATCTGAACTTATCCACACAGTAACTGTTTTATAGTTGAAATTGGCTTTAACTATTAAAATTATATACAAGGAAATTAGGAGTGTTGCAGTACTTGGTTGCAAATAACTTGCCATCTGGTGTTGGGTCAGAAAATGCGATCTCATTTGTGCTGAGGAAACAGCCAAACATGAAACAATTCCTAGAAAAAGAGAAAAGATGTTTTTAACAGTGGAATCAACTTGAAATTCTGATTAAACATGAACATAATTTAAACTCTTTATTAAATCCACATTATTTAATTAAAAAATAATTGACTTCAATTAAGATATAAGCATCATTTTATTGTAATAAAAGTATTGGTCTGTAACAAGTTAAACTAGGACTTTACCACAAAAAAAAAAACTAGCCTGGAATGTTGTATGCCTGGCATTTTTCAGTACCAATGCAGGACTTTATCCTGACTTTGACAGCATTTGTAGAGAAGCATCTTGTCAACGTCCTTCCCTTTGGTTCAGGAATCAAGAGAGATTCTGGGAGAGCTAAGAATGTAAGGTTCAAGGTTGAGGCCCATTTCGTTTTCTTACCTGAGAGTATCAACCAGTCGTCTTGCAATGCGCTTTCTTCTCTTCAGTTTGAAAACCCAGATTCTACTTATCCCACAGACTGCAGGTTCTGGTACATTTGAACATTGCCAGGCTCTGGAACATTCTTTAGAGCCTGACGATTCTGGGCCAGTCGGCTCAGACAGGACACGGAAGGCCTGCAGTGATACACAGAAGCTGCTATAGGTAAAAAGCTAGATGAGCTCACATTTTTTTTTTAATACCTTACACAAAACCTTAGTATCTGAAGTTAATCATATGACCCAAAAGTATTAAAATTCTTTAATATGTCTTGGAATCTTATGCAATTAGTCACACAATGCTCACAAAATACCAGCAATATCGAAACACCCCCCCATTGTAGTCCACTCCATAACATTATGAAAAATTTTTTAATGAAAAACTTAAAAAGTCAACTCTTAAACTTCCTCTATTACCTCCGTCTTGCAATGTATATATAATAACCTAAAAACAAATTCAACACTAAAGATTTTTACTCATAACTAGGTAACCTGCTTGATATCTAACTTTTTTCTGGTACTAGGATTTCTCACTAGGCTATATCCTCAGTTCTTTTATTATGTTTTATTTTGAGACGGAAGTCTTGCTAAGTTGGCCCAGGTTGGGCTCAAACTTGGAAGCTTCCTCCCTCAACCACTAGGACTGTTGGAAATATAGGGGTGCTACCATGCCCAGCTTTTTGATATTAAATTTTAAAAAAAAAAATTTATTTTCAAATAATTATAGATGTACAAGATGAAAAAACAGAGAGTCCATGTATCCTTCCCCGTTTTTGCCATCTTTTGTAACCATACCACAATATCTAAACCAAGAAATTAGTATTAGCATGTGTTTGTATAGTTCCATGACATTTCATCACAGGAATCTGTATTCATTTAGCTCCCACCACAATCAATATACAGAATTACTACATCCCCACAGGTCTTCCTCTTGCTACCCCTTTAGAATCATATTCCACTCCCCATGAGCTCCAGTAATCCCTGGCAATTATTAATCTGTTCTCCATCCCTATGATTTTGTTATTCTGAGAATGTCATATAGATTCATAAAGCATGTGACCTTTGAGATTTTTTTTTCCCACTCAGCACAATACCCAGGAGATCCATCCATACTGTTACAAATATCTATAATTGCTAAGTAATATTGCATTATATGGGTGTATTACAGTTTGTTTAACCATTTAACTACTAAAGCTTAATTTGTTTCCAGGTTGTGGCTACTACAAATAAAGCTGCTATAAACATTTATATGCAGACTTCGTGTGGACATGTTTTCAATCATTTCTCTGTAATAAATGCTCAGGTATATGACTGCTGAGTCATAAGTATAAACATATGTTCAGATTTTTTGGAAGCTGTCAAATTCTTTCCAGTGTGGCTATAACATTTTGTATTTCTACTCCAAATGTGTGAGAGATCTAGTTTCCAAATTTGCCAGCATTTGGTCTTGTCTTTTTCATTTCCTATTATACCTTTTCTTTTTTTTTGAGACAGGGTTTTGCTATGCAGTTTAGGCTGGGCTTGAACTCACTTTGGAGCCCAGGCTGGCCTCAAACTCGCAGCAACTACCCTGCCTCAGTTTCCCAAGTTCTAGGGTTACAGGTATGCAGTTTAGGCTGGCCACCATGCCTGGCCATACCTGTTCTGACAGAAGTACATTTAATTAAATTTTAGCTACTATAAAGAAAACTTGGCTTTATAACTGAGAATGAGTAAAAGATGTATCAGTTAGTTGACTATATGTGCCTATTATCACTACACAAGCAGTGCAGCTCTTTAAGATCAAAGAAAGAAAAGCCTTATTAATACATAATATAAAAGAGGTGAACACTGTCCTCTAAAACATAGTACGTGTGTGGGTCATGGGGAAATAAAAGTGCAGAGCTGTTGTACACCATTCAAGTTGTTTTGGAAGCCTCATGCTAACCATAAAGCAAAACTCTATCCAAAACATATAAAAGACAAAGAGAAATGAACCAAAGCATGCAACTACAGAGCATGGATCACAAAGGAAGACAGAAAAAGAAACAAAGGGCCAGAAAATAATTAACAGAAGGTCCTGATCTATCTAATTGTTTTATATGTAAGTGACCAAAATATGCCAATCAAAAGAGTGTGGGGGAAGCAAAGATATAGCTCAGGGGCACAAGTGCCTGCCTGGCAAGCACAAGGTCCTGAGTTTGATTCCTGGTACCAAAAAAACAAAAAAAAAAAACAAAACAAAACAAAAAAAAACAGTGGGGGAATGAATGAAAAGAACAAGACCCAACTACATGCTTTGTACTTTCAAACTATTTTACAAGGTCAGGATTAACCTGGTACTAAGGCCAGACAAGGATACTATACAAAAATGAAATCATACACCAGTAGCCCTGATAAACACAGATGCAAAAATCGTAAAAATAGTAACATCAAATTTAATAGCACATTAAAAGGATCATTGCATATGATCAAGTGGAATTCATCCGTGGGATACAAGAATGGTTCAATATACACAGTGTGATATACAACATTAAAAGAAAGATAGAATATATATATATAAGGAACTCAATTCAATAGCAAGAAAACAACCTGATTAGAAAAAGGGACAAGGACCTAACTAGACATTTCTCAAAAGAAGACAAATAGCCGACAAGTATATGAAGAAATGTTCCACATTATAACCATGAGGGAAATACAACTTAAAGCCACAATGAAATAACACCTTATCCCTGTTAGAATAGTTATTGTAAAAAAGATAAAAGATGTCAAATGCTAGCAAAGATACAGAGAAAAGGGAAACCTTATGCAGTACACTGCTGGTAGAAATGTAGATTAGTAGAACCACGATGGAAAACCGAACGGAAGTCTCTCAAAAAATTAACTACTATATGATCCAGCAACTCTTACTTCTAGGTACAGGTCCAAAGGAAATAAAAGGAAAAACTCAAAGAGCTGTCTGCCTTCTTGGGTTCACTGTAGCACTACACACAGCAGCCAAGACACAGAATCAATCTAAGTGTTCGATAATGAAAAAATGGAGAAAAAAATATAATTGTGTGTGTGTATGTATGTATGTGTATATATATATATATATATATATATATATATATATATATATATAAAATAAGATGAAACCCTTTCACTGGAGAAACCCATAAGACAATACACTCAGCAAAATCAGCCAGGCACAGAAAGACAGATACTGCATGACCTAAGAAATGTAGAATCTAAAAAGTTGAACTTATAGAAGCAGACAGAGGATGGAGGTAATGGAGAATGTTGATAAAAAAGTACAACATTTCACCTAGGATAAGTTCTGGAGATCTATGGTATCGCATTACAACTTTAGTTAAATGAACATTTGAAAACTGCTAAGACTGTAGATATATATTCTCATCACAAAAAAGGTGATGAACATGTTAATTGGCCTGATTTAGGAATTTCATAATGTATACATATATCAAAACATCAAATTGTACACTGTGACATACATAATTTTCAGTTGTCAGTGCCTCCTTAATAAGGCTGGTCATGGGAGAGAAAGAAAAACTAAAGTGAGCACTTTTACTGCTAATGATACAAACCAGATGCTTTTCTAACTTTTAATAATACAGACAATGTTTATCAGAACATTGCTAGTTAGTACCTAAAAAGATTCTAATTAAGGGATAAGTACTGACTATCTAAATGGACTACCATCTACAGATTTGCTTATCTAAAATTATATTTTATACACTTCTAAGTACAGAAATAGCTACCTGTAGGTGAAATGATTAGATGAATGTACAACTGACTTACCCTGCTTATAAAAGCATGATATCAAATATAGTATGAATAAATGGCTTCATTACTCACAGACTTTAATGGAAAAAAGTCATTAACGGCACCAGTTTTAAATGTTTGAGACTTATTCCAATTACTTTATTCTGCGCACAAATTATGCTAATAATTTAAGAAACATGTAACATACCTGTTTGATTGGCTCTGCAATTAAACACCCAACTACTCTCTTATCATCAGAAACAAAGAGAAAAGTTTTGGCTTTTTCTGGACATTTGGGAACAACTTGCTGGAAGCCCAGTTCATAATCAACAAGTTCTTGGACATCTGTTATCTAATGATGTTAAAAACCAAAAGGTGAATTTGTTTTAAAAAGCTCTATACAAACAATATATATGTTTATTTAAAACGTATGATTACTATCATTTTAGCCACTTTTACCTCTATTTCCTAAATTTACCATCCAGAAAATTATTTCACTACTAATGCATGTATCTGGTATTTTAGAAATAGGGCTTTAAGAACCTATTTTAAAGGGTACTTTTAGCAGAAGTTCATGTTTTAGCAGAATCCAGGTCTTGGGTAAGATAAGCAGAGGAGGTCCTAACACATTCATTTTACCTTTATTTACTCTTCATGTTGGCTAAATATCCAACCCAAGAGATACAGGCAACATCAACGTAAGAAATGGATGAGGGGCCATTACTTTCTCAACACTGAAAAGATTTTTTTTTTCAAACAGGGTCTCACAATGTAGCCCACGCTGGCCTCAAATTCGTGGTATTCCTCCTGCCTCAGTCTCTCGAGTGCCAGGATTACAGGCATGTGCCACAAACACACAGCTGAAAAGTTCAGTTTTTAGCTTTTACAAGTAGAAGACAAAGGTAAAAGGCGGCAGTGCCTTATGTGGCTTCTCTCTTCTCCAAATGACTTTTTCTTGGGATTCCAAGTTTGGTCTTGTGTGAACTGTTACAGAAGTCTTCCATGACTATGCACCAAAATGGCTTGTCTATTAGGAAAGTGTTTTACACTTCAACACAGGTTGATTTCTTGCAGGTGAGGGAATGATAAAATTAAAAAGATAATGCCCCACACCTTTCTGATAGCGTAACTTGGATCACGTGGCAGGACCAACAGGATCTTTCCATCCCAAAACTCTGCCACCACTCGTTCTCTTTTCCAGCCCTGCCAAAGGAAAAAAAAAGGTTTGATTTATGAAGAGAAAACAAACTAAAAAATACATTAAGTGATTTCATCTGGAGAGGAGCGAAGGTCAAACAATGATATAAAAAAATGAAATCTAATTAAAACATGACAAATAAAAGATGTTTAAAACAAGTGCCCTCAAGGGGCTGACACCATACAGAAGACATGTATATATGTACTCTGTTATAAACAAAGCAAGGTCAAATAAGAGTCCTCCGTCAAATCTTAGAGAAAGACATGCTGAATTATTCAGGGTGGGCAGCAGGCTAAGCTGAGTTTGAGGGAAGCTTTCATAAAAGAGTCTGTGAGGTCCAGTGTGATGGTTCACACTTGTAATCCCAGCTGCACAGCAGACTGAGAAAATAGGACTGTTAAACCTGAAGCAGAGAATGACAAAATTTTATTTCTTTTTTTTTTTTTTTTTGGTTTTTTTCCGTTCGGTACCGGGAACTGAACTCACGACCTTACACTTGCCCAGGCAGTGCTTTTGCCGCTGAGCTAAATCCCCAGCCCCCAAAATTTTATTTCTATTTTAGAAAAGAATTCTCTGGCTGATATATAGAAAACACATTATCGTGGGAAAGAATTACACTACACATATATACACATTTTCGGTCACATAGTTGAAAGGCTGAGGCCAGATTAAGTGGCAACTAACTGCTGGTGGGAGCCTTCTCCTTCTTAAAGTATGCAGGATCATACTAAACCTGTTTTAAGTACTCTAAGAGCACTGTGGAATCCCAGCAAGGAAGCTGTTTTAATAAACCAGGCTAAAAGTATTATAAAGACATAAATGATGGCAATAAAAATAGAAGAAAAGGATGTATCTGAGTAGAGGGTACAATCATAAAGGTGAGGTCAATGTTAGGAGGTGTGGGGACTAAAATGGTGCTTGATGAAGAGCAGAAAAAGCCTGCAGTGGTTGTAGGGGGGCTGCTATTCCGAAAGTTATCCCAAAAGAGGTACAGTAGGGAAGAGGGGCTCTGCTCTAGTCTGAGGATTTTTTAGGGGAGCTTCTTTTTATCCTTCGGCTTTTTCTGAGACAAGGTCTCGCTGTGTGGGTTCAGGTTGGCCTTGAGCCTCAGCCTTTCCAGTGCTGGGATTACAGACCTGAACCACCGTGCCCGGCTAAGTCTGCATTTTGTATCTCATCTGCTGAGCTCTACTCAGAAAGCCAGGGATCAGGATGTAGGGTACTCAAGTACTCAACTTAGGCCAATACTTCTCTTATACTGGGATCATTAGTTTGAAACAGTATTACTAAAAGCTAACTTTTGAGCTGGAGATATAGGTCAGTGGCAGAGTACTTAACCTAGCATATATGAGGTCGAGAATTTAATTCCCAGAACTGCAAAACAACAACAAAATCTTACTTTTTAAAAGTCTTTAGTCTCAAATTTTAAGCACAAAAAAATTGTAGACAATGAAATATTTACCTTTTGATTTTTTTTTTTTTTCTTTTTAAAACAGGGTTTCACTGTAGTTCAGGCTGGCCTTGAGCTTACTTTGGAGCCCAGGCTAGCCTTAAATTTGAAATGATCCTCCTGCCTCAGCCTCCTGAGTGCTGGAATTACAGGTGTGTGCCACCACACCCGGCTGATCTTTTGCCATATAATGGAAATAAATGTCTCTTTTAAGGCAGTTGTACTTTTACAAAAAACTAAGAAACTGTTTTTGACTTACTGTATATTTGATTCCCTCCAGAAATCTGTGATGATACTGGATATGTTGCATTTCGTCTTCAGGATTAGAAGCAGTGTAGATCATGCCACAAGACTTACACATAGTAGCTCCAAAATACTTCTGACCTGCATCCTGTCATTGAAGGGGTAAAAAAAAGCCCTGGTACATATTTCTACAAATAGTTCTGAATTAAGTTCATATAACCATTCATTCAAATTTCTCCTTATTTTTCTTTTATGCTGGCACAAGTAAAATACTAAATAAATGCCTACTTACTACATCCTCTCCCAAAACAAAATGGAATGAGAAGAGACCTAAAACTGCTAAAAATTACTGAAGTAATAGAATTCCCTTTTTAAATGCAGTGTTAAAACACATAAACAAACAAACATGATTCCTTATCAGACTGATAGTTATAGTAAGATTAAACCAGCTGGGCATGGTAGCTCATGCCTGTAATCCCAGCACTCAGGAAGCTGAGGCAGGAGAATTGCTGCAAATCTGAGGCCAGCCTGGGCAACACAGTGAGACCCCGTTTCAAAAAAACAACAACAAAAAATTAAAGCATAAAAATTATACGAATGTGCATGATGGAACTCCTTACTTCAAAGAGGAAGGGAAAAATCTTAGGACTATAATGTTAATTACGCAGTATTTCTTCCTTAAATGGCTGGAAATGTTAAATTTTTTAGTCTTAAAAAATAGTGCTCAGAAAAAAAAAATAGTGCTCACTTTAGCAGCACATATACTAAAATTAAAATAGAAAATTCTTTAATAATCCCAGTACATGGGAGGGGGAGGCAGGAGGATAGCTGCGAGTTCAAGACCAGCCTGGGCTACAAAGTGAGCTCAAGGCCAGCCTGAACTGCATAGCCAGACCCTGTCTCAAAAAGAAAGAAAAAAAAAA